GGGAATTTATCGCAAAGCCAACGGCAGCCAAGGCGCACTGTCGCTTGGCGGCCATTACGGAGTTCTGGTCCTTCTCAGTTCAGAACAAATCGAGCCTTTCCTCTAGCGGGGTGATAAACAGTTGTAATTTGGCACGGAATAATTGGTTGCCATGGTAACTGCTGCAGTACAGGTTGCCATTCCCCCTCTCCGCTCCCTTCGCTGACAAGGACCTTCATCCCCATACGCCGAGGTTCAAACCGCAGCCTGGTTATTTTATGCAGATTTTTCCAGGGGTTTGCAGCATCAATTCCTGCACCGGGGCTTCCGTCAGCGTCGCCGCAAACCGAACGAGTTCCACTGCGGCTGACGCAGGTGAATCCCCGCACGAGTGTGGCGCGGCAGCACCTCTGCCCCACGCTCCAAGGACAAAACCCCGGGGGACAGGAGGGTGTCAGCCAGCCACGGCACAGGTGCTGGCCCCACACCGCAGGCTCGCACCTCACTCCCACCTTCCTCTAGCAGAGGGAAGGTCCGCCCACCCCTCAAAACGCTTGAGGAGGAGTTTAGGAGAAGGAAGCCCCATTCAAGGCCCCCCCATCTTTTATCTCTTCATCCCAGAGGCAGCCTGGGTGCTGCTCGGTGCCTCCCAACAGCTACAGCACCAGCTTCTCCCTGGCTTCGACGGACGAGGGAACAGTCTCCCACGGGCGGGACCGAGGTTGGTTAACACTGCCCACACAAGGCATTAATTAAAAAACCAAGCGCACTCGCTGTTGAGCCTGTTATTTTCTCCCCACCCCCAGCAAGGCAGCAGCCAGAGCCAGCACAAGCCACACGTGTTGCTGCTGGGCTCAGCCAGGCCAGCACTGACAGAAAATGAGCAAGGGTGAAAACACCCCAGGGTTTTACTTTATGCCCCCCTCCAAGAAAAGCAGCATAGGAAAAAAATGCGTCCAATGACGGGAGAGGCACAGGGAGGCAGAGGGCCTGCGCCAGCTTTGCGTGGTATCTGCAGAAAGAGAACATCACCATGGCCTCAAGGGAAAAAAGCTTCCTCAGGGCCGCGACGGCTGCAAAAGGCTGGCAGGTAATGGAGTGCGGGATGGAATCGGCTTTCTTTAAATCAGCAGCTCGTCATGCTCCCATCAGTAGCAAAAGCACTTTAATGTGCCACCTCATCCAGCCAGTTTGTTTTTACAAATCCCACAGGGAACGGCTGGAGGACACCAGCACCATCCAGCCCTGGTTTGCTAAGGGAAGGGGTGCGGGTGCATCTGGTTATGCTAGGTAAGTGACTTCTCCCCAGCAAAAGGGCCAGCGCACAAGGTGTCTGCTCCTGTCCTCACGTCCAGCGCTGCCCAGGGACAGAGCCGGCGTGGCGCAATGTGGCAGCGAGCCCAGCTCCGGGACCGCGCCGCGTCTGAGGTGGGTGCGCCACCACAGTGCCAGTCCGCCTTCCCAAACAGACAGCAGACCCCCAACGCCACCTCGGGAAGGCCTGATCCTCGAGGACATGACGCCTCATCTTTGTTTTCCTACAGAAGGCCCGACAGCCCTTCCGTGTGCCAAATCCTGGAAGCCCCTACACTGCCTTGCTTGCAAAATGCCCTGGACGAGCATGGCTGACACCGACGCCCGCAGAGGCCTCCAAGCCCTGCCCCAATGCGGCAGTTTGCATCTCCCTGGGGAGAACATGAGCCCCAGACACCACGTCGGTACAGGATGTGCTGGGAAGATGTACCGCCTGCGCCCAGAGACAACACAAGGAGGTGCTGCACCGCAGCGCGGGCAGGAGGGCTTCAACAAACGGGGACAGACGGCGCCATCGCACACACCGACGTAGGCACCACAGCCGAGCCCCTGCCAAGGGGGGGGGCAGCCACACAGCTGCTGGAAGGTGCGGTGGCCACTTCTCCCCCAGTCCGCTCTCCAGACACCACTCCTAGGGCAGATTTCTATCCCAGAGCATCCGAGCTAGACAAGAACTGCTCTCGCCCTGGCTCTGGGTCATCTCCCAGGGCGAGGGGAGCACCTGCTCAGGGAGGGAACACCCCGTATCACCCCCCTTTCCATCCACAGACCCCCGAGAGGTGCCTGCCAGCTGCCACCAGCGCCCTGAGCAGCCTGGCCCTGCGCCACAGCTGAGAGGAGCCCCTTGGCCCAGCATGACACCATGCAGCATTACCTCCTTCTTCCTCCTCTTGATTTTGGCAGCCTTGCCATCTTTCAGCTTCTTGGATTTCTTTTTTTTCTGCACAGCAACTTGCTCTTCTGCGAAAAACTCATCCAGTCCTTCCAGCACCCCATCATCTTCTTCTGGGGACAAAAGGGACAGCTCATGCGGACGGATCGCACAGGCACACGGGACACCGCGGTCGCATTTACCCCTCTCAGAGGAGCGCAGCCGAGCGGCAGCATCAGGCCACGGCCCCTCCGGGAGACCCTCGTGCCGGCAGCTGATCCGATGCAGATCCCGGCAGAGCCTGGCCCAGCAGCGCCTGCCCCCGCACTCCCGGTGCCCAGCTCCTCGCCGCTGCGCACCCACGAACACCCGAGGCTTCAGCGTTTCGCCCTCGGGCGACAGGGGCAGGGGGGACCCCCCCGGGGGTGCCCCCCCCCACCCGGCC